GTAGGTCGTCCCACTCCATCTTCTGTTTCCAGATTTGTTGAAGCAGGATTTTTGCTCGCACGACAAATGGCGCGATGAATCCTAAGGGATCGTAGAGTCTGGCTGTAGTCTGTAGGACAAACCTTTTTGTATCTGAGTGCTTCTCTGCGAAGTTCAGAACATCGTCTGGTGCAAATGTTAAGAGGTCTGTGGCAGGGTTCCACGTTAGTCCCAGCACCTTGAAAACTCCCGCAACCTGCCCTAATGGTTGTTCCTCTCGTGGGGATTCGAGTCGAGCTCATTGAAGAGCGTTTTCGAGTTAAGCACCCACTTGTGCAGCTTCATTGACGCTTGCTCGAAAATTGCTGTCGATTCCTTGAAGATCTTAGTGGCTTCTTCTTCGCTGGATGCACCGGTAAGAATGTCATCCACGTAAATGGAATCTTGCAGCAGCACCGCGGTGTCTGGATACTCGTTCTTCATTGTTTCCAGGTAATGTTTTATCGTCGCAGACAATAAAAATGGGCTCGATGTAGTTCCAAAAGGAACTCTCGTCATCCTCCAGATGAGAATTGGAGGAAGTGGTCTTCCGACCTGTGGGGTAGTTTCATACAACAGGAAGCGTAACGCATCGCGATCATCTTCTTGTATACTTATCTGAAGAAACGCCTTCTCGATGTCGGCCACTAGCGCGATACAATGTCTTCTGAAGCTCAGAAGCAACGCGACAATATCCGGGTTCAGGTTGGGGCCACTTTCCAATCAGTCATTCAACGACTTCGAGCTTTTGTTATGGGAAGAAGCGTCAAATACCACTCGCAATTTAGTGGTGGTGCTCCTTTCACGACAAACTGATTGGTGCGTTCCGAGATCCAGTCCGCTCATCTGACACTTGTTCTGCAATTCCACCTTCGGTGTACTTCCGGATCGCGGCGTCATAGTCCCTCATCAACTTAGGGTTCTGAGTTAACTTCCTTGTTAGCTGCTGAAGCCTCTTCCCGCAACTTGTTTGTTATCGTCTAAGTTCACTACGCGTTTCTACGGGAGGGCTACCTCGTACCGAAGACCAATCTTCTTAACTGTTTCTTTGTAGGATGCGATCACGGGTTCTGTCTCTGGATGAGGTCCGTCGGTTACACCAATCGATTCAAGGTTCCAAAACCTTTGCATTATTTCAGATGCATCCATGTTGTTTGTCTTTGCGTTGAGAACGACCATCTGTGAGCTCTCGATGACAGATGCGGAAAGTTCTGTTGGACCGTGTACGGCCCAGCCAAGCGACGTCTCGATTGCTCGAAGTTTTCCGTCGAGTCTCCTAACTTGGCCCGTGACGAAGTTCCAATAGCAATCGCCTACAATCAGTATGTCCACGCCGTTGGGTCCCTCAGCTACGCAGAAGTCCGCGGCCGTGTATCCCATTTTTTTTTTCAGTTGGCAACGCGATTCTTCTCTTGAGTAGGGCAATCGTTGACCACAAATACGGCTTGTCTCAAATGCTTCCAAACGGAAAACTTCACCTCTCTGATTTTCAAGAGTCACTAGAACTCTGCGTAAGTTTCGTTCTGTCGTGTGGTCGCCAAATGCTCCTACCGTCAGTCTTTCGTTTCCCAGGTGCTTGCATCTGAGCTTTCGTGAGAGTAGTTCTGTGACAAAAGACCTCTGGCTTCCGCCGTTGAATAGCACTCTTACAAGGATGCGCTGTTTCAGTCCCAAGCTCCACACTGTCGCTGTTTGCAGGAGGACGGTTTTGTTGACCCCGTCTTTAATCGTAGATTGTAGGGCCACTGGACCGGCAGAAGTCAGTTTTTCCTCTTGCCTGCCTTTGTCGTCTCTTGAGCTTGACAAGAACGTTGGGTCACACATGACTGATGCGTGTCGACCTTGGCAGTTGGAGCAAGAAATGTTTTTCCTGCATTGTTTGGCCAGGTGATTTTTTTTCGTGCACCTAAAGCATATTCCCGAGCTCGTTAAAATCTTCCTCTTCTCGGGAAGACCTATCGCTGTTGTGCACAGCTCTGTCTCGTGGTCTGGGGTGCTATGTTGCGCTTTTTGCACTCCCAGGAGACTTGGAAGAGGGAAGCGACGTCAACGACACAGCAAATGCAGATTGGATGTTGACAGAAGAAAACGAAATCAACACCCAATCTGCGTTTGCTGTGTCGTTGACGTCACTTCCCTCTCCCTAGTCTCCTGGGAGTGCAAAAAGCGCAACATAGCCCCCCTGCTGACTTGCAGAAAACACAGCTCAGCTTGTCACTCTTCTGTAGAAGTGTCGCGGCCGTTCATTTTGTCCATGGTTTTGAATTGTGCTTTGCTGCACGGGATACTACTCCACTCTTTTTTCCTGCTTTACTTCTTATGCCTCCTGATTCTGGTTTTTTGTGACTGTCGTTTTTTCTCTACTTTCAACTTCAATTCTCAGAAATTCCATAAGTGATGGTAGTTGCCTTAGCTGGGACTGTTCTACAGCGTGTTGGTTTCCTTCGCCAGCCGCGTTTACAGCCACATCTTCCGGGCGACGCTGCTTTTTCTTCCGAACGACATTTCTGTTGAAGGTTAGCACAAGATCTTCTGGAATCAGCCGAAGTACAAGGGGGCAAAGGAGAGTCGAATAAGAATCTTCGTTAACCCCTAGAGACTTGAGACCTCTTATATGCGCTTGGAGGTCATCGTGTAGTCGTCGTATTCCTCGGACGTCTTGCGATGTCCGAACTGGCTGCCGTTCTGCTAGTTTCATCATGTGGTCATCTGCTAGCAGCGCCTCGTCGCCGTAACGGGACTTTATGATCTCCCACGCATCTTCATAACAGCTGGCCGTTGGTGGCAATCCGGCAATCGCTGCAGTAGCCTCTCCCGACAACGCCGATCTGAGGTAGTGGAACTTCTCGGCTGATGACAGTTCTGGGTTACCATGAATGACCTGCTCGAACTGCTCCCAGAAGGGCTGCCATTGTTGACGTTGTCCGTTGAATTTCAAGAGTTGAAGTTTTGGTAACTTGACCTTGACTGACAAAGTGGGACTACAGTGGTTTGTTGCGATTTCTTGACCGCTTGTACTCGCTCTTTCGTGTAGGGTCCGCACCTTGAAGGTCAGTCTTGCCGAGTAGGTGACGATACGATCGCTGTACTTGACGGTCCGAGCATACTCTTGTTCGATGTCACTCGCTGCCAACAATGGTTCGAGGGCAGAGTCCGTTTCGGTAAGCTGACCATGTAGCGCGTTGAGACGAGTCAGTAATACCCCTGTTACACGGGCACACTTAACCGCGGTTAACTCAGCTTAACTGCTGTTACGCGGCACCACTGATACCGCACTATACTCTCAAACAGCCATTTCAGAAGAAGTGAAGAGCGCGCGTGCACTGCTTCCATGGATGATCAAGATGCTCAAGCGCACGTTCGCCCATAGCTCTGACTGCATCGCCGCAGAATGTTGTCGGCAAGTATTGTGCGCTAATTGTGGTTTAGCGTAACTGCAGTTAAGTGTGCCCGTGTAACAGGGGTATAAGACGTTGAGCTCTTCCTCAATCGGCACTTCGGTTTGGGTAGCTGTATCAATTTCCGTCAGCAGCTTTGTTACCTGTGAACGCAGGGCTTTTCGCTTCTGTTTCAGCCTATCCATGGCAGCGTCGTTATGCTCCCTTGCGTTCTCGAGCTGGGTGGTGTTTTGTCCTGTAGCCTCGTTACATCAACGCTTGCGACACCTTTTCATCTGGCCCATCGTACAGTCTTGATCCCGGCTTTCGGCACCAAAATGTCGAAACCATTGAGCCGAAGCGTTGATGACTACAAGAAAAAACACTACTTTAATCACCGGTAACTGCGTTACTCACACTTCCCAGTTCCGAGCGGAAATCCCCGAAAAAAATTGTAGCTCGCGCTCGGGCCCAGTCCCCGAACCTTTTCGTCTCCTTCCCGCTCCGCTGAAGGGTTTCTTCAGAGATTTTATAAAAGGGGGTCGAGGGGAAGGGCAGTTTTAAAACTTCTAAATGTCATCCCAGTTTTTTTTTTTTTTTTTTTCCCAATCTCGGAATATTGACAAAAGCAATCTTGCAACTTATCTCGTCAAGGTTCACCAGGAGAAACCGGCTTTCGGGTCATGGAAGAAGCCCAGTTTCCAGCTTGGGCCAGAGTGCTTCTTAGAGGAAAAAGGATTTTTGTTTTTGTAATATTAAAAGTTGTGAACCATAGAGATTTCATAGAAGGGGGAAGAGGGGTCGGGCAGTTGTAACCTCTATATTACACCCTTTACCACTCTACGTACCAGCGCAGCTGCGGGGTAGATTGGTGGATAAGACGGAAAAGTACGAGCTTCCTAGCGACCACCCCCAGGAGTTTATTGATTTGAAGGTTTCTAAGTTTATCGAAGAAACACTTGTCTGAAACTTTGGTCGTGAGACAAATTAGTATTGCCAATGGCAATGGTGCCAACGCCAAATCCAGTTGAAGAAATATTATTTGATAGAAGCTCGTTCTTTTGAAAGTAGCACACGTTTGCACGTTTTTTCTTTTTCTTTTTAATAAAAGAGCATTGCCAATTTATGCTTCGAATTTCGGAGAATGGGGAATCGAAGAAAAATAAAGTCCGATAATCTCCGAATTTTTAGCAAAAAAAATAAACTTCGAAAAACACCCTCCGAATTTGCCGAAATAAGACCTCTGAAAATACGAAATCCTACGTATGCACCGACGCCGATCAACGGATTCGCGCGGCTAGAAGGGTTTTCTTTGTGACGGTCGGAGGTACTCGTATGTACACATCTCGGGCTAAAGCGAGCGCAATTCATGAGTGAGCAGGGTTGCCCTTCGAAAACCTCCAACCGAAGCTCAAAAAAAAAAAAAAAAAGAGCATTATGTCTCTTACAAAAAAAGAAAATGTGTAAAAAGTGAACAAGGAGTGAAAAACAAGCACTTTTTGATTATCAAGTTTTATTTCACTGTTACTTAGCCTCACGACACACCTTACAACCTAGGCAAATCTTCGCACGTACTGCTTAAGTACGCTGTCCAAGCTTCTACTCCTAATTAGCCGTCGGATTTTTTTCTACAAACTCAGTGTACCTCGTGACGTACTCTTCTGGTATGTCGGCAAGCAGCACAGATGCTACAGCATCGAGGTCGTCTTTGGTCAAGTGAGCTAGTCTTTCGGCGTCCTCCTTAAGTTGTATGCCTTCGATATTGTTGAAGTTACGAGTCAGCGCAAACCGGACTAACCTGAGCAGCTGGTACCTCGAAAATCGCTCTGTTTTCTTCACCAAGTCTCTCATGTGTTCTTCGTGGTACGTCGGACATCGAATCTTTGCAAGCTCCCCCCTGATGATGGCCATTCTGTCCTCTTCGCTGAGAATGGGAAAATTGAGTTTTGCATGAAAAGCGTTCTTAATGTCGTCCTCCAGCAACCAGGGTTTGTTAGCAGTGGCTATTACAAGATCTTTGTAGTTCTTTTTTTCATGGATCCCTTTGAAGAGCGCCACTATCACCGCCTTGACCGCGGCCACCGGCGCCTTTTTGATGTCCGGATGATCTGTCTCGTAGAGGTAGTCAATGTTGTCAATCACAAGCACCCCGGTGTTGTGCTTCTTGAAGTTGCGAATCAGCATCTGAGCCACCTTAGTACCGTCGTGCTCCACTGCACCAAGGATGAACGTCTGCATCTCGACAATGAAAACAGACTTCTCTGGCCATTTGGAGGCGATAGCCCTGACTAGGAGACTTTTACCAGAGCCTGTTGGCCCGTGCAGAAGGACGGATGAGGCAGCCTTGGCCTTTGGTTCGCTGATAATCTGGCTCAGAACTAATTTGGTCGAATCGACGCCCGTGATGTCGTTGGTGTAGCAGACCTTGCGACCGGACACCACTGTCGCAGCCTGAATGCACCACGGCGGAAGGACTAGTCCCAGGAGTGGCAACTGGTGGATGCGCTTCATCTCTGGCAGTCCCTCGCAGATCACTTCCTGGTCAATCTCGCCGGAGAACTCCTTGAGTTTCTGGGCTCTCTCGACGAAAGGCGCGCAGGTGTTGCGGATGATGAGCGCTGCATTGAGGTAGGACTCCATGGACTTACGGTAGAGGCGGATCGCGTTGGCGAACTGCTTCTTGACGTCCTCATCGGCGGCTTGGTTAGACAGATCGACGGCTGACTTGATGTCATTGGTGAGAGTGACTGGAACCACCATGCTGGCGTCTCTGTGGGGGCAAGCCTGTGAGTCGAGTTCTGCTGTTCCACCGGCCGAATCGCCGCGGCTCGAGAGGAGCTTCTTTTTCTTCTTTGCTGAGTGCTGCTTTGGGCTGCTTTTGTTCATTGCTGCCACGATTGGTGCTCGCGTTGCAGAACCCAAGGATTCTGGGTTCACTCCTCACCCCCGGCTGTTTCAATCTGGATGAGCATCGTTCCGGTACGCGATCGTGTACCACTACTGCGTGATGCACGTTAAAAAACCCAGGCTAGCAGTTATACTGCACTGGCTAAATGTATCATCTACATGAGGCAACAATGTCACCACGAGGCAGACTAACCTCCCGCTGTACAAACAACCAACGACTAATTATTATTTTTTTACCACGATTGGTTGTGTATCACTACTGCGTAATGCACTTTAAAGACCCCAGGCGAGTGGTCGCACTGCACTGTCTACATTTCTCATCTACAGTGTGTAGCAATGTCACCATACTCTGGGAGACTAGCGGGTTTCACATGCAGCGGCAATTCAACGGCCCCAGAAATCACGTGACCCCTGAGGTCCGCCACGGAGGCCTCCGTGGCGTAGTAGCCGGCAGGATGACGAGGTGAGGAGGGGGGAGGAGGGGTATACCCTCCCCTCAGTACACTCCCATCCTCCTCCTCAAGAGTTGCGCTCCAATTCGGCGTTACAGGGAGTTGTACACGGCTTTCTTTTTTCTTTTTTTACTTTACAAATACTGAGTTTCCAAGCTTCGAATTTTTAGGGTAATGTCCAGGCATCGTTTTGAATCGTTTCAGGTAATAACAAGAAACGTGATTTTGACCTTGCAGTGCAAAAAGGCGATGCAACGGTTTTTGTGCTTTGCGCAAATGCCGCTTAAAAGGGATCCCTGACGTTAATAACCTGTGAAACACCCGTTCGTTTTTCACCACACGCAATCAAAATCGCACAAAAAAATTAATGAAAAACGAGCAGAGTTCACCCCCTCAACTCGCAGACAGAACACGCGGCCACGTGATCTGGAGCCGATTATATGCCACCAATGTTGATCATAGTCACGCGATGGGGTTGGTAAAGCACAGGACACACGCTGAGTTCCAGACATTGTTATGGCTCGGCCAGTGTCGTCATTGCAGCGATTGGACACGGGCCACTACCCGAATGTTTGTCGAGCTATCGATCATCACGAGCCCAAGCGGGGTGCTCACGCAATGCTCGGGTCTAATCTATGAGCCGCATTCAAATATCGTCGGGGTACTGCGAACGCCACTACGTCATCAAGTTTCGCGAAAAAAAGGTTGAATGAAAACGCTCGCATTTGTGCTCGAAATTACACCTCAAGAAAAGAGTTTCTTGGCCAGTGGCGTTGCGTGCGAGTATTCTTGAGTCCCACTAGTGCCAGTAAGCTCGTTTAAAGTGGAAACGATTTCAATTCAATATTGTTACACCGCCCCTTTAACCCTTTCGTGGGCAAATTTTATCAAAGGAGCAGGGAACTTCATTTCTTTTTTTAATTCACACATTACTTTGATAGAGTATCACAATTCAGCTAAACGTTTATTTTTATCACAAGCGTAGTTCTTTCTACGTGGGTGGGAAGCATACTTCCCACAGCCCCATGTGTGGGCTACTTTCCTGGAAATTTTCGGAAGCATGGTTTTTTGCAGAGCTAGGGGTAGAGTGGATGTGTACCTTGTTCGTTTTTCATGCCGCTTGGTGCTGCAGTTTCTGCATCGGCGGTACTTAGAGTTTTCGATTGGAAAGTGCTGTCCCACTCCGGCCAACTTGACTTCTTTGGGCACACCCATGTCCTTAGAAAGGAATGGCGGTGTCCTCCCTCTCTTCTTGCCTGACGTGTGTCCAGAGATGAGCTGCCTTGCGAGCTTCAGTCTAAAAGAAAGCTGATCTTTCTTCTGCAACCCCATGCTGTCGTACAGAACGAAGGCATTGCCAGTTGAAAGGTCCACAAAGAAATAAAAAAATCCTCTGCCACCACTTGAGTGCACGGCGTCCGATGGCGTGCCTCTCCCGCAGCCGGTCGAACTTGTCGAAGCCTTCCATTATTGGGTTGTAGGTCGCAACAACCTCGGGGCAGCTGACAGTCGTCTTCGTCCTATCTTCGTGCGTTCTTGAGACAGAAGAAATGTATGTCATTTGCATATTCATTCGTTCATGCATCCATTCGTTGGTTCATTGATCCATTCAATCATACTACGCTTGTAACTCGGTAGCATATAGCTTTCTTTGAGACCAGAAAGGCTAGATGCCTGACAGACACAGTTACTTTTATCGATGGACATGCAAACTTGGGGTCTGGGACAAACGCGAAGAAAAAACAAAGCCTCCGGCACCTGGCACATCCGGCGCACGCAGTTGGCGGTGTTCGAGGCGGGGTGTAGGCCGCACGTCCGGAGGCTTCCTGGCTCGAGACGACGTCCATTCCTCGAAGTGCAGCACCCAGGGGTCCAGTGGAGTTGGGAGAAGTGGTAACGTAACGAACGGTTTAATTACATGGTTGCGATACAGTCGTCAAATCCGAGAGAGAACAACGGAGCAGCCTCACGCTCCGAGGGCAGCCAGTGCGATGCAGCAACCCGCCGTCAAGTGCGATGCAGCAAAGTCCGCCGCCCAGTGGGACGTAGCCAAAGTTCTCCGCAGTTAGGCCATGCCTCTCTCCCTTTCCCAAGCACACCAACCACCACGCACACACACACGTCCCGCCAACGTCACGGACGCGTTGAGACTTGTTGCCGCAGGCCCCGTCACGCAGGCGACGGTCCCGGACTCGTTGGGACTCGTTTCGCGCAGGCTCCGACAAGCGGGCGACGGTCCCGGACTCGTCTTGACTCGTTTCCGCAGCGTTGAAACTCGGAAGAAGGGCGCCGAAGGTTCCATTCCTTTCCAGCGGGATATAAAATACAAACAAAAGTACTCCCCCTGGCAGGAAAGATACAACATATTTTTTCTTAGTGCGAAAAAATCCTAACAAAGGGCACCACATGCCGCAGATGGCCAGCAGATGGGAAGCGAGCTTCCGTACGGACATATTTATGCCAATCTTTATATTGGGAAGTATACTTCCCACCGCCCACGAAAGAGTAAACAGTCTGTCAAAAAAAAAAGATATATAGGAGGGTGGTTCAAGTCACCAGGCTCGATCTAAACTGTACCGTAAAAATCGACGCCTGCACGTAGCAATTTATACTTTTCGTCAAAGGTGTATTTTATAGGTCGGTTTCTTCTTGTAAAATTGCAAAGCATAGTTCTCTTTCTGTAAACCATAGGGCCAAGAAACTTGCCAGGGTCTACGGCGGGCGACGACCCAGACGACCAAGTCCAGTAGCGGAGTGTGTTTGGTGTTCGTATTGATAGATGGCGTCGGGAGCAGCGTCCGAAAGTGCAGCCGACCAGCGAAAGAAAGCAGACGACACGCAGACGAAATCCGTTGGCAGCAAAAGCGCCGTCGTTATGCAGACGCTTTTTTTTTTTTAACTTTAAGTTTTGCTTTCATTGTCCGCATTTATTTTTTAACCTAAGACACGTTTCAAAAAAATTATGTTCGATTTAATAAACCATGGTGGTCGCGAGCCGTCGCGATAAGGAGGTAGCGCCATCTATCAATACGAACGCCAAACACTCCCCGCTGGACCCCTGCCGTCTGCGTCGCTGCCCACCGTCGACCTTGGCATGTTTCTTGGCCTTATTTTTTTACAGAAAAAGAGCTACGCTTTGTAATTCTACAAGAAAAAACCGACCTTTGAGATACACCTTTGATGAAAAGTTCAGATTGCTACGTGCAGGTGTCGACTTTTACTGTCCATTTTAGATCGAGCCTGGTGACTTGGACCACCCTATATTAGAGTTGTTTTTGTTTTAGCTGCAAAAATAAACTATCCATCGCCGAACGCTTATTCTCCACCCGACTGAAGTACCAGCGGCCTGAACCATGCCAAAGTTTTAGCACTAACCGCTATCTTGTTCCAAAGTTATGTGAGTTTTCTTAAATTTTCAATGGAAAAATGACGCCCATTTTCGCCTGTTTCCCTCACTCCTCGCCAGGGAACTAGCGCCATGAGCTCCATGTATTCAAGAGTTCGATCAGCAGCAATTTTTACATTAAAAATTAAAAAAAAAAAAGTTTGGCATCGGGTTGGACTTCTATCGCTGCATTTGTATCAAGAATGAGGGTTCGGCGATGCGTAGTTTATATTTAAATTGAAAAAAAAAAAAAAAACACATCGTCAAATTTTTTTATTTTTTTTTGGAGGGGGGGGGGGGGGGGGAGACATCCTGTACAAAACGCAGTTTCACTTTTTACGGCCATACTTTGGGATTAGTTGACTTTAGCCACTGCGCCTCGCCAAGTCTAGTATCCGCGGGAAGAAGGGTTATGTTTGGCTAGTGTTTGGTGACTCCAGTGAAATCGACGGCACCCAGCGGCTAGAAAAGGACGCTCTGGCGTAAGGTCCGCTCGCCAGCATTCTTGAGCGAAAAAAAAAACTTTACAGCGCCTGGTGGCTTAAAGGGGAAGCCGTGAAGGGAGGCACTCACTTGGTCGAATGACGTTTTAGCGAACGCCCACGTTTCATCGAACGACACTTTAGCGAATAGTCGGACGCCGCGAAGCGGCGTTTTCGGGTGGGCCAAGTGAGTTCATATTTTTGTAATGAGTTGCCGCAGACTGTCGCCGCGAAGCGGCGTAAAGCGCAGCGCGGCGGATGGGTTAACGCGCGCCCCCGTTATTCGCTAAAACGACCATTCGCTCAAATGTCGCCGTTCGCTAAAATGTCATTCGCTCTTGTGATATGGACCCGAAGTTGGCCTGCCACGATTGGCTAAGAGCTTACAATGGCGTTTGTTAGCCATTTTAGTCAGATTTATTTTTCTTACATTTACGCAAATGAGGAAAGTGTCAGAGTACTAACTTGTACAGATGTGCTGCTGACTGCCGGGTTCCACCGTTGTCATTCTACGCGCCATCTTACTTCCGGTTT